AACCCAAACCTCCGCGCTTATCATGTGATTAGAGATCCTGAGGCTGCAGCCAGCCTGGGCCGCCCTTCGCTGGAGCTTTTTATCACTTCCCGTTCATGGCTGGCTGAGGTTCAATGGTGCGAAGGTGTCGAAGCTGTTTCCTCCACAGAGAAAGCCCTGAAGGGCAACTCCACCCCTTTTTACATTTTTTTTTTTTGCATAATTAAATGGCTGAAGTTGGGCCTACACTACACGATTTGTTGCCCCTTCTGACAAATGTTGACTATCTGAAGCGACCTTCCAGGTCAGGAGATCAATCAGAAGAGACTGACAGAGCAAACAATCTGGTCGTGCAAAAGGAGAGACACTCTTCATCTCTCTGATCACTTCAGAGTTCGATCAGAGAGATATTCACTTGTTTCTCCTCTCACACTAATAGATCATTCGGGAATCTTCAGGCACCTCACGATTCGGTTATTCAGAGGCTGCGATGCGATTATAAAATGATTATTGATGCATCTTTTTTTCTACACAGGATTCCTGTTTTCTTACTGTCTGAGGACTTTTAAAGCAAAGCATCTGTAATGATCCATAATGAATTTACTTCCAATATCTTTTATTAATAAATCAAATGGAAGTGATGTGGTGAGTGAACTGGAAGGCTCTCATTCACTGCTCTGGTTTGGAGCACATGAGACACTGCTGCCACTCATCTGTGATAAAATGTGCAGTTACGGTGAAATAAGATCCTGTGGCAATGAATGATCACGCAGCACGTTACAGCTGTCCTACCTAGTGATTCCAACTTGGTGTGCAACACAGCGCGAAAGCCCTGGTTCTCAACGACCGAGTACGGACGCAAATCCTTGGCAATAAAAGTTGTGATAGAGTTTGTAATTCTGCCTTTCTGAGTTGGGGGGAAGCTCTGACATCACTTGCTCGAAGGTTTTCTGGTTGGCAGCGACTACAACTGGGCGTTTTTCTTCCTCCTCACAGTGGAAATGTCATTTGGTTTCCCACTTCGTCTTATTTCCATCCGTATCTTGTCCAGATCCTTTCTCCCTTCAACTTCACAGAAGCCAAAGTGCTTTTATGCGCTAGAGATTTCTCGCTTATCCATCTTGTGTCTTTGTGATGTGCACCACAGACTGTCCGGGCGCTGCACTTCCACACTTCCAAGTTCCGCCTTTTGCGCTCCGTCGAGTTTACATTATCAATAAAAATGTAGTAAATCGTTTTTTGACATCTGTGAATCGATTCAGAATCGTCCACGTCCGCATTGCGATGCATCTAAGAATCGATTTTTCCTCCCACCTAATCCTAATCATCCGCACGGTCAGTCGCTTCCGATCGAGCTCCCGGCCTGGACAATTGCTTCAGACTGTGAAATTTTGTTGCAAGGGGCAAACAGGGGTTAAAATCGTGTGCTGTAAGCCCAGCTTAAGGAGTTTATGCTTCACTCACAGACGTACATTAAAAAAACAAACGTGTGTCCGGTTGGAGGAGCTTGTGCTGCAGATTATTAACACACTGATCACAATGGAAATCCGCTCTGTTAGATGGACGCGTCCGGTTTTAATTGGCCGTAGCACCACAAAGCTTTGTGGGGGAACAGAGAGGGCGACGAAGCAAAGGTCAGTTCCTCCACATCGCCTCTAATTGGAGACTCTTCCTGCCTCGTGTGGAGAGAGAAAGTTCCTGAAAGAGCAGGCCGCAGAAAAATCACCGCCAAATTGCTCTTTTGACAAAATACCGCAGAGGTTCGGCTCTAATCTGACCAGCGGTATCTGCGCGGCTGTTTACTCCCGCGTCCATTCTTCTGTAGCGTTCCAATTACTGGATCACAAAAGGGGAAGATGTTCAAGGCGACGAAAGAGCCACGGTTGTTAATTAAGGTTACGCGGCGCCGTTTTTTCCCTTGTTTTCACTTTCAGCGTTTTTCAAGGTCCATCAACTCAGGAATCAGCGGAAACAAAGTGGCTTGCTGAACGTAATTCGCAGCGGTTCGGTTCATTTTTCCCTCCTCATAAACGGCTTCTGTAAAATGTTTTATTTCGTGGTCTTCCTCTGCCTTGTTTCCACTGCGGAACTGCTGCCGGGCATTCAAGAGGCACGCTATAGATTCCGGCTGCGGTTAAATTGGTTTTCGTTCTTTGTAAAGGAAATGTGATGTTGACTCAGAGGGGCAGAGAGCAAAGCTGGACAAAAGTCTGCAGAGCTTTTAAATTGCTCGTTTATGCACATGTGAGGCTTTTCAAGACCTTTTAAGAGTTACACTTCTCAGAGTTAGTGTCCTTGACGCGAGTCAAATACAGGGCTGTCATGCTGAAGCAAGTCTCTATGCTGGGTTTCACAAGAAACACACTTTTTATACAGCTGTGTTGTAGTGCTGTATTTGCTTGATGTCAAAGTACATATTATCCCACTATTTTTGGCCCTAGTCATTGCAGGATAGCGCTGCTTCCACTACAGCAGTTACAACAGCAACAATGACGAGTAGAGCGTCTACAGATCACTCGACTGCTTGAGCTTGAAGCAAAAACAGCCTCATCTCAGTTTCAGTGGTTTGTCAGCTGATGATGAGCAGAGGAGAAATGAGTTTGTGCAAATAATAAAGAAATAAACTTTGTCCTATGTCTGCATTTTAATCTGCTGACTAACAAGTTAACGTTGCACCGAATGCAGTCTGAGCTTCAAAGTCGCTGCTGCAGCCGCTTTCAGAGGAACAGTTTTCAGTTTCTCCCCCAAAAATGCTCAGCAACTGAGTGAGCGAGAGCTCGGTGGGTAGATGTTCATTCACTGGAGCTGGTGTTTGTGTAAAACGTCTACAGTGGTGCTGCATACCATGATGACCCAGCGCGCCCCCTGCTGGCATGTGTGTGCATGTTTAGCTTTTCGCAATTTTAACTAGTTTATTGTTAGCGAGCTGTTTCAACATCTCCAGCTAACATGGCTAATCTAGAGTTTTGGTTGTAGTTATTTTCACCTCCATTGATTTATCACTCTGTAGACGTTACTGTACTTTGATAGCTGTGAAGGAATTTTTCCATTAAGTATTTATGTCTGGCGGCACGGTGGCGCAGTGGGTAGCGCTGTCGCCTCACAGCAAGAATGGCCTGGGTTCGATTCCCGGCTGGGTGACCAGGGTCATTTCTGTGTGGAGTTTGCCTGTTCTCCCCGGGTCTGCGTGGGTTTCCTCCAGGTACTCCGGTTTCCTCCCACAGTCCAAAAACATGCAGTCAGGCCGATTGGACATGCTAAAATTGCCCCTAGGTGTGAGTGAGTGTGTGACTGTGTATGTCTGTCTGTCTGCCCTGCGATGGACCGGCGACCTGTCCAGGGTGTATCCTGCCTTCCGCCCAATGACAGCTGGGATAGGCTCCAGCGCCCCACCGCGACCCAGAAGGATAAGCGGTTTAGATGATGTATGTATGTATGTATTTATGTCCATTATTTAGTTTGGACTCCCTCACTGTTGTGTGTTTGGTTCTCCAACAGTTCTGGACACCTCCTCGAACTCCAATCTTGGCAACTACGACAGTCTATAACGGGCCAAAAATTGTTTTACCCAGCGGTTCCACACTTCCGGTTCTTGTGAAAAGGGTCTAGTCACTGTACAAGAGTTTTGAGTTAAAAGGATGTTTTGACATCCTCTTAACTATGCCCATATTTGGGCCTGGCCAATATGAAAATTCGTGGTCAGTATGGATTTCAAAGGGCTAAGAGTTCCAATAAATGTTAATATTGCTCAATTATATTTATTTAATAACTAAAAATAATGCAGGGGAATCCCAGCTTGTTTGAAGCTCCATACACTGAGGAGCACATTGCACATTGTTTCGTTCAGATTGCTTCGTCCCAGCGAGAGGCCTCTTTCGAGTGAATCTCCCTGTATATACATATGATGTGTGTAATATATATGTAAAATATATATATGTACATAAATACACACACACACACACACATTATATATAAATATTAATATAATAAATTTGATTAAAATAGATTATTTAGATTATACTTCAATGCGTCTTCATAATAAAGTTTCTGGCACTGGGGTGGACCTACCCACAATTCTTTGCTTTTTTTGTTGTATTAGTTACCTTTTGATTTCCTTATTTTTATCAGTCCTCTTGATTAAAAAAAGTGCTGCCCCACTGTCAGGACATCACAGGTTCGAATCCCAGCAATGCCATTACAAATATACTATATAATGCTATTTTACATATTATATTATATTAATGTTATATAAAGACTTTTAGATTATTATTTAGATTACTTAGACAATACCAGAGAGCTCCTGGTGAAGGAATGTACTGCTGTGTTTAGTGCTGTGTTTGTCATTGTACTCTGATTGTACTTAGAACATTCTGTTCTGCCTATTTCTGTTTATCCCTACAATGTCATGTCTGTCACACCTGTCACTTGTCATGTATTGGCTGGGCCTAATCTTGGCATCAGTCCAGCTATAAAACTGCGTCAGTCCATTGTTTCACGGGCCGGCTAGGTGTCTGGTACCTGCGCGCGACAAATAAACTTCACCTCTCCAGACATCCAGCTAGTTCCCTGGGTTTGTGACGGGTTTGGACTCATCATTGGCGCCTTTAGGCCTCACTTACCAGGGCGAAGCGGTTGACTTGCACGTACAGGACCTCCACCTCAGTGCTAGAGACTTGGGTGCCCTGCTGTTTGTATTCCTTATAGGCCTCCAGATACGCCCTCAGCCACTGCAGCTGCAGGCTCCGCTCAGGATACAGGCTGTAGTCCACTTCGTTCAGACCTGTCAATCACAAAGAGGCCGAGTCCAGAACATCAGCACGCTCCGTCCTCTAAATAACTTAAGACTGCATTAAGAAGGTGTTGGGTTCTAATCCCATCAGATTACCTGCAAATTCATTGAAGTGGTTCCCAATGTCATAGGCTTGGTAATTGTACCCAGCATATTCGTAGTCAATGAATTTGACATTCCCTGGGGAGGGCAAACAGACGGAGGTTTGTTTAGAGAAGGATACGGACATGTGGTCTTATTCCCTTCCTAATCCTTAGACATCAAAGCTACGTATTACCAAACCAACACTGGAAATATCTGGGCTTTTATTTGAGATTAGTCAAATATGACCCTGGAGTAGGAGTAAGGGTTTGCGTTCTGAAAGGAGAACAGAAAACACATGTTGGTGAAACTTCACGATAGGTGTTCACTAATATTAGGCAACGCATTTGTTAACATGAACAACAAACGAGGTGCAACCAGCGGAGGAAAGAGTACTGAGAATCCCTGCTTTGGTAAAAGTACAGTTACTGTACTGATAATTTACTTCAGTACAAGTATTAACAAATGAAAGTGCTTAAGTAAAAGTAAATAAGTAGTTTATGGAGTAATCAAGTCACTATTTTGTGTATCGCTGTTGTTGAAACAAAACCTCGTACCTCCAAAAATGGTAACTTTACAGGAGAAGGAAAAAACATACTTCACTTTTAATGTAAGTCAATGGAACCAGATTTTTGTCCAAGTCATTTTGGGCCGTTTCTTTTGGTCCATTCTTCATGAAATTTACATACAATGTAAAGGACAACAGACATTTTCAAATTATGGCAAAAACTGGTTTTTGTCCGACAACAGCGATTTCCGCCCTAACAACTCTGAGTGAGTTTACATGCACTTAATAATCCGATAACTGCAGAATATCAGATTTTGTCAGTAATCCGATCAACACGTTTACATAGATAATAGAAAACTCTAGGTCTGTGAGTTTATCGGCTTTGCCAACAGCCAATAAACTCGTAGAAGAAGCGTTGACGTAAATGTAACGTAAAAATCAAACTTAACGCAGCAGCTTTTTTTTCTAGAACATCGCGCCGCTTTACCCGAAAATATAAATATACATCTAGAATATGAAGAATATTTAAATCCCTCATTTCGTCAAGCATGTATTTGGTTTCAGCGTCGCTCTAATAGTCTAATAGTGTTCTCACTTATTTCCGGTACCGGCGTTTGTTTTCACACATGCTCAGACTGAGAAATCCGAAAGAAATCAGAGTAAGAGTTTACAGCACTGAGAAATCTGATGATCCAGCCTCTTTATCAGAGTATGCCGTTTACGTGACCATTTGAATAATCAGATAACTGCAGAAATCTGATAATGATCAAATTATTGAGTGCATGTAAACGCACTCATTAAAATACACTGGAAATACATCACTGGAAATAATCTGTAAACACGAAACTAGAGCAAAACGTGACGATACATGAGAAAAAAAAAGGGTTTCGCATCCTGAGACTGACCTCATTACATCCTCACATCTTTCTGTGTAAGGGAACTATGTAAGGTTTATATTAAACTAAGTACATTTCATGGTTAGATGACTATTTAAGGCTTCCTAGTTTATTTATTTCTAACAACTTTCTTCCTCCTCTAAACTGTACATCTCTGAACTCGTCCGTAGTGTTTTCACGCTGGGACCTGCTCAGTTTCACTCTGTTCCGATTGGTTTATGAGTTGGGGTGTTTCATTAAAAATGAACTAAAGCAAAAGTCCTTTATTTAATTTTACTGTTACTGGGAAAAATGTACTAAAGTACAGTATTGAGAGTAAATGCAATTCATTACTTTCCACCTGTACAACATTAATACTAGCCAGCTAATATTAAGTAAACAAGAAACAACTGCATTAGTTACTGTAGTTCACATTCAGTGTTGACTAACATAACTACTGTATCTGTTAACATTAAAAACATATGAGATTCTATATTAATAAAGGTAATATTTTTGTGTGTAACTTCATTCTGATGTGTTTCGCTTGCTGGCGTCACATGAGCTGTTTAAACTTTTAGACTCCAACCACCTCCAATCAGCCCACACTTGATTTTAGTTCACTTTTAAAGTGATTTTTGGTATGTTTTTAGTTAAGGTTTCCCTTTTATTACCGCGTTCTTATTTATTTTAATGTTGCCGAACTACTGTTTTACATTTTTTTTATTTATCCTTATTTTATCTTATTTATTAAGACACTATATTATTGCAATTTTATGGTGTAATTTTTTAATGTTTTATATATATATATATATATATATATATATATATATATATATATATATATATATATATATATATATATATATCTTTTTTTTTAAATTAATTAATTAATTTTTTTTAACTAATATGATTTCTATTACTGTTTAGCATTTGTTATGTTTTTACTATTTAACTTCTCAATCCCTGTTTTCTGTATTGGCTACATTTTTTGTTTGTTTAGTTTATTTCTGTTTATCAGGGTAAAAAACAAATAATAATAAAATAATAATAATAAAAATAATAATAATAATAATAATAATAATAATAATAGGTAACACAAAAATTAAAGGAAAAATTATAGGAGTTAAATTAATGGACATAATAATCAATACCAAAACAATTACTGACCGAAAAGGTGTAGTCTGAAGCTACAGCATTGTAAATGAGGGTCTCCTCCAATGTACTCCGAGTTTAAATAAAGGCTGATTGACTGACTGATAGTCCAGCTCCTGCTTTACTGTGGCTCACATCTCTCACACTGGAGCTTTAGCATTTTATTTTAGGCCAAAAAGACGAATAACCTTCAGTCTCTGTGTTCACCGACGCTGGATGGACTAATAGGTTCTGCTGCAGTTCTGTGAGTTACTCAGTTACTTAGCACACCTGACGCAAAGTGCAAACTATTCATGTCTTAGTAACGAATTCATTCAATGGTTATTTACTTAACCTTGGCTAACCATCGCAGTCTCTCATGTGCTTTTAATGTTAAACACATTAACGTTAGTATGAAAACATTAACCGATACAGCTGTTTACTCAACATTAGCTAATCATAACTAATGTGTTGTTCATGTGAACAAATGCACTATTAATATCAGTCAGTGAACACTTATCGTAAAGTGTGACCCACATTTTAAGAGAGATCACAGCATGCATTCAGAGCGCAGGCATACAATCGCACACACATGTGAAACAGCGCAGCATGCTTGGTTAGACTGCGTCAGGCCCGAGTGGACAACTTGCAACCAAGCTCTGAGGAAGCTTTGCTTTTTTTTTCCTCTTTTTTTGTGTAAACATCTCCGCTGACTGACCAAAACAGGACTGTTATTAAGGAACATGTCAGTTATGGTTGCAAGTGCTCATCGGCTTCCAGGAAATCTTGGCAACAAAACCAGCCTCTCACGCAGTGTCTGGCTACGAGGAGAGGAATATTAGAAAAGACGGGAGGACGGAAAAAACGAGAGATCGACGTGTTAATGTCCAGAAAGTGTGCACAAACAAAGGGACCATGCTTTGAGGGCAGGAGAGAAAAGTAGGACAGAAAGAAAAATAAAATAAAAAAGGTGGAAAAAGGTGGAAAAAGGTCGCCGTCTAGTGGCCGAGCGAAGCAATGACGATTTCAAAATACAAACCCTTACTCCTCCATGATGACCCAACCTTCAGTGTGGCTACATTTCAGTACATTTTCAGTGTAATAAAGTTTCTGTGTCTTGTTGATTTTTTTGTTAAATATTAACTTGCGCTAAAAAAAAAAGTTTGAGAGTAGACAGAAGTGTTGGTCTACAGAAAGAGACACATGAGGTGGTTACCGGGCCCGTTGGCGTCCTAGCTGGACACACAGAACAGCTCCAGCCAGTGGCTATAGGCCTGTGCAGCAGATGAAGAGATTTGGGGCAAACTCACATCTGTCACAGAACACACACAGCTTCACTGCAGAGCGGCCTCTGCGTCCCTCCCCCTTTTAAAGACTCGAGCACCGAGCACCCCCCCTCCCCTCCTCCCCCCCACCACCCCACTTTCACACGCCCCCCCAGCCACACGGCCTCCCCGTTGGTCCAGGGGAGCGCCGATGAGACAACGGCTTAGAGGCCCTATGCAAACGGCGAAGGGGTTTTCCTGCACAGGTGGTCTCTCTCTCTCTCTCTCTCTCTCTTCTTTGCCCTGCTAAAACCTCCTGACTTGACAGAAAGAAAGAAAGAAAGAAAAAGAAAACAAGACAAAAAGAAGGTTCGGGAAGCTTTGCTGTTGCGCAACGTTTATCTACATCTCTTTCCTTCTCTTCCTCTCTGCGGTGGAGGAGACTGTCTCGTGCAGCGCAAAGACACTCCGTTAGCGTATGAAAACACTCCCCCCCCACCCCCCACCCCTCCCCACCCCCACCCTCACCCCCAAACCCGCCCCGCCTCTTTTGCATGGTTAATGTTAGCTAGAGGAAGTGGCTTTTGGCTTCTGCCCTGCTGTCAGTGTGGCTGTCTTCCTTCGTACAAAGGCCTGAGCACAAATGCAGACTTCTTACACGCTTTTCGAGGCAGCAGTTACGCCTTCAAAAGCCGCCGCACGGGGTTGGCTGCGAGCGTCTGCCAGCCCTCGCGCTGCTCTCTCTCTCAGTTACTCATGGGGAACACAGAAAGCATTCACAGCATCACACGGGGAGGGGAAAAAAAAAACATCAACATTCCCAAAATGCACCATTTGCTGCTTTAAAAAACACATTTACACACACACAAGTACACTCACGCACAACCTCATGGGGCGAATCTTTAGATTTAACCATGGATCCCCTCTCTGATCCTTAGATGAATGTGTTGGGGGGAGAAAAGTACCTTTAAAGGTCCTTTAATGATGCAGAAAAGTAAAAACCGGGCCTACCTGAGGCAGGATAGGTGTGGGGTGGGGTTGGAGTGGGGTGGGGTAGGTGGGTGAGGGGTGGGGAGGGGAACGGGGCTCACCTCCTGCCTGCCGGTAGATGATGTTCTTACACAGCAGGTCGTTGTGGCAGAGAACGACGGGCGAGCCCAGCTTGGAGAGGTTCTGCTGCAGCCACACCAGCTCCTCTCTCAGAGACGCCGCGCTGGGCACCTCGCTGCTCAGCCTGGACACGGAAGAGACATACACAAGTATGAATGTCAGAGGTTAAATTAAAGGATTCAAATAGCGCAAGTAAGTCAACACATCCTCTAGAGAGAACAAACATCAGTGTGCGATTATTGTTTATTTAAAGAGTTTAAAATACTGGGGAGAAAAAACTGAATATAAAATATGCCATAACTTTTTTACACTTTTCATTCATCAAGGTACAAACAATGTAAATGTGCCCTCAAAGGTGCCACAGTGGTTTTAGGGTCCGATTGTGCAACTTAAATACAATAAAATAAAGTCCTGGAGACGAGACGGGGTGTGTGGAGTCAATACAGCTTAGAACATATCATTTCAGTGGATTATGGTTCAGTTATGTTCCCTGACTAAAGGTACTGAGATGGACCCTTGAGGGTTCCACCCCAGTGACAAGAGGGGCGCTGACCCAGAGACAGTTCAGTACCTTTATTTCTGAGATGTTAAACTCAGCAAATAAACAGTAACTGAGCACTAAAATGCGCAGGATGTGTCAACAAAACGTAATGTGACCAGGGGCGCTAAAACTTTTGCACAAGCACATGTTAGCACCTGAGGGTCAGGAGAAACAAAGAGTTCCTGAATGAAGGGAAGTTTTAAATGATTGAGAGCTTTGTTGATGGCTTTTCACCGAGGTGCCACTCTAAGCGTTCATGGTGCAGTTAAGAGCAGCATTGTTATTGTGGTTACAGTTTGACTGGGACGTTATAGGCGGTCCTGGCTCAGTCCCAGAGCGCCAAACCCTGCTCTCGTACATGAACAGCTCCTAATTGAACACACTTGGCCCACTTTTCGGCGATGATGACTTTAAGTGGATGAGGTGTGTTAGATTAGGAACAGGAGCAGATATAAGCAGATCTCAGCCGGATCTCAGTGTATGAAAAAAAAGGTAAACATAACTAGAGTTATTATCCAATTGTGCAGGATAAGGTGGGTAAAATATAACAGATTTTCTTATCTAGTTAAACAGATTCAAGTGGAACGTGCTTTCAGTCAGGGTTCCACAGTGAGCTTTCTGCCATGGAGTTCTGGTGCTCCTGATTTGAAATGAATAGGAGCGAACAGAAAGATCTATGAGCACAAACTTAAACTTAATCTGAACTTTTTATTCCCTCTATTTTCTTTATAATCAGTCAGAGAGGAAATGTTTGTTTAGATGTTTCCTACAGTGTAAAAGCCACTCGATTTTTCAAAAATTCTACATAACTCAGTGTTTGAGATGTAAACAGAGTCATTCAGAGTGGTTTGGTGTGAAATGGTTCAGATGTCTTTACAGTGGTGGTGATAGGAACCAGGGGTCGCCATGACTACAACACAGATATAGACATTTTATTTACTATCCAGAACCACCAGTGAACCTACAATATAACATAATATAGTATCAGCCAACATGTCTGTCAACATTTCATGTAGTAACTTTCTGTGAGGGAGCTTTTAGAGGTGGACGTCTGGTTCCTATCACCACCACTGTGAACAGTTCTGACTCAGTAAGTTCCTCTAGAACAGAGCGTTTCACGCCAAACCACTCTGAACGACTCTGTTTACATTTTGTCCTTGTGAGTAATGGGAGTTAAAAATGTGATCACGTGAAAAAACTTTTGTTTTTGTGCTTCTAAACTGCTGAAATCATTACCTCTTACAATTAGGCAGTGAAGCTCAGCACACAGTAAGAGACATTTTTAAGAAACATTTGGAAACTCATCTTTTTAACCTGGTCTTCATTTAAAATACCGTAGTAATTTGATTTATTTGCTTGTCACTTTATTTTATTCTGCTTTTGTTGTGTTTTTACTTTTATTACTTCATTTTACAGCTCGATTGTAGAGCACTTTGAGCTGTTTTGTGTATGAAAAGTGCTCTTTAAATAAAATCCACCATTATTATTATATAGAACATTTTTATATGGAATGTTGATGATGGGAAAATTGTGGAAAATCTGAAAAAAAAAAGTTTTCTTTGGGGACTCACAGCGCCCTGCATGTATCCCTCCACCATGAATAGATTTTTAAAAATACATTTTAGGCCAAAAACTTTTCAAAATTATCATAAAACAGTGTCTCAGTCATCAGGCAGTGAATTCATAACCATTTCATGTAGTAACTTTCTGTGAGGGAGCTTTTAGAGTTGGACGTCTGGTTCCTATCACCACCACTGTGAACAGTTCTGACTCTGTAAGTTTCTCTAGAACTGAGCGTTTCACACCAAACCACTCTGAATGACTTTACTAAAATCAAAATGATGTAACTGCCCATACTTTTAGGGAAAAAATGGTGGAATTACCTTTTAAATCAAAAATAAGGCTGGTCAATTCTGACCACATCACTGTCCATTAAACCTGTTTTTCAAATCCAGTTTCCTGAATTTTTGCAGTTTGCATGACAAGGTGGAACTGAAAAAGAAAGTCACGTGATGTGTGGTCTCAGCTGTGGAAGCCACTCTCTGAGCTGTGTGCCACAAAGTGTTTGGGGGAGGAGAAGAGTTTTTAAAATATCTGAGCATTAACATTTTTTATACAAGCAACCTTTACATCTCTGATACAAGTGGAAAATGCTGTTTTGGGCACCTGCCATCTGTAAACAACCCCTCTGAAATAAGCACAAGGTCACGACTGTAGGGCTGGGTGTAACCGTCAGACTTTTATTTACTTATTGTTTTTGGTAACTTATGCAAACAATAAGGTCAATCGATGTTGTTTGAGCCAAACAAGCTTCAAACACATAAAATATCTGCATCAAAATGAACATGATTGGTGAAAAAACTGTGGGTCAAACGCTGGCACACTTATTTTGGACCACAAAAGTAGAACAGCAAATATCAGCACAACTAAACTGATATATATTATGTAATATTATGTTTTTGATTAATCAAGTTTTTAATCACTTGTTGTATTAATAATTCGCTGCTGTCGGAACAAAACCTCGCAAAACCTACTTTACTTTTAATGTAAGTCAATGGAACCAGAGTTTTTTCCAAGTAATTTTGGGCCGTTTCTTTTGGTCCATTCATCAAAAACGGAGATACATGGTTTCCTTCAGTAATAACTTGTACAGTGTAGACGGCAATGTTATGAACTAGTTACCAAAACATATACTGATAATTTAATATATTTGGGAACAACAATAATTTATGACATAAAAAAACATCATACGTTACTAAGTAACAACCACATTTATAAAATTACTATAAACCACTATTTGATCAGCAGGATCAGGTTTCTGCTTTTTAAACGTGAGGCACTCTGAATATTCATTTCATTTAAAGTTTATTCTCATTGCCACACAACCTTTATTATGCAGTCTTTTACAGCTCTGTTCATCGTCAGACATTTCTTCATTTTTACAGCTTCTTACAAACTTTCCGAAATCTATAAAATATTGGCATCATATTACGTTCATTTTATTCATGTATCTGCAACAAAATTAGTTCAATATAACTAAAAACCGTGATTCCAAATCTCGGCGTACAGGAGGAGGATTTTGGCTTTTCTAATTCTTTACTTTAGGAGGATTAGTTGTAACACTTGTTCAAGGGGAATTCCACCAATTTGGCAAAATTTCTGCATAATTAAGTAGTAAAGATGTAAACAGAGTCATTTAGAGTGGTTTGGTGTGAAACGCTCTGTTCTAGAGAAACTAACAGAGTCAGAACTGTTCACAGTGGTGGTGATAGGAACCAGACGTCCACCTCTAAAAGCTAACTCACAAAAAGTTGCTCGCACAACATGGTCACAAATATGCTTCATATGCTTATGCTTAATAATGGTGCCTTTTATTTATAGAGCACTTTTCATTCACAAAACAGCTCAAAGTGCTCTACAATCGAGCTGTAAAATGAAGTGATAGAAGTAAAAACACAACAAAAGCAGAATAAAATAAAGTGACAAGCAAATAAATCAAATTACTACGGTATTTTAAATGAAGACCAGGTTAAAAAGTTGAGTTTCCAAATGTTTCTTAAAAATGTCTCTTACTGTGTGCTGAGCTTCACTGCCTAATTGTAAGAGGTAATGATTTCAGCAGTTTAGAAGCACAAAAACAAAAGTTTTTTTCACGTGATCACATTTTTAACTCCCATTACTCACAAGGACAAAATGTAAACAGAGTCGTTCAGAGTGGTTTGGTGTGAAACCCTCTGTTCTAGAGGAACTTGCCAAGCCAGAATTGCTCACAGTGGTGGTGATAGGAACCAGACGTCCACCTCTAAAAGCTCCCTCACAGAAAGTTTCTTGCACAACATGGTCACAAATATGCTTCCTGATGCCTGAGACATTTTTTTCAGGTAAAATTTTGGCCTTAAACTTTATTTTTTAAATGCATTTACGGCAGAGTGTTACAAGCAGAACACTGTAAGACAAAATACTTCCTATTTTTAATTAATTTGCAATTTACACTACTTTACCACTATTTTACCATCATCAACATTCCATACCAAACTAAGAAGAAACATGTAGGATCACTGGTTTTGGATAGTAAATAAAATGGCTATATGACAATGAAATTGAGACCCCTCGTTCCGATGAAACGCTCCGTTCTAGAGAAACTTACCAAAACAGGATTGTTCACAACGGTGGTGATAGGAACCAGACGTCCACCTCTAAAAGCTCCCTCACAGAAAGTTACTACATGAAATGCCTGATGCCTGAGACGCTGTTTCATGGTAGTTTTGAGGAGGTTTTGGCCCAACACATATTTTTAAACTCTATTCAAGGTGGAGGGATACATACAAGGTGCTGTGAGGCAAAATAGTCCCCAAAGAAAACTTATTTTTTCAGATTTTCCCCTATTTTCCCATCATCAACATTCCATATGAACTCAGAAGACTTGTGTAGGTTCACTGGTGGTTCTGGATAGTAAATAAAATGTCTATATTTGTGTTGTAGTCATGGCGACCCCTGGTTCCTATCACCACCACTGTAAAGACATCTGAACCATTTCACACCAAACCACTCTGAATGACTCTGTTTACATCTCAAACACTGAATTATGTAGAATTTTTGAAAAATCGGAGTGGCTTTTACACTGTAGGAAACATCTAAACAAACATTTCCTCTCTGACTGATTATAAAGAAAATAGAGGGAATAAAAAGTTCAGATTAAGTTTAAGTTGGTGCTCATAGATCTTTCTGTTCGCTCCTATTCATTTCAAATCAGGAGCACCAGAACTCCATGGCAGCAAGCTCACTGTGGAACCCTGACTGAAAGCACGTTCCACTTGAATCTGTTTAACTAGATAAGAAAATCTGTTATATTTTACCCACCTTATCCTGCACAATTGGATAATAACTCTAGTTACGTTTACCTTTTTTTCGTACACTGAGATCCGGCTGAGATCTGCTTATATCTGCTCCTGTTCCTAATCTAACACACCTCATCCACTTAAAGTCATCATTGCCCAAAAAGTAGGGCCAAGTGTGTTCAATTAGGAGCTGTTCATGCACGAGAGCAGGGTTTGGCGCTCTGGGACTGAGCCAGGACCGCCTATAACGTCCCAGTCAAACTGTAACCACAATAACAATGCTGCTCTTAACTGCACCATGAACACTTAGACAGAGTGGCACCTCCCTCGGCTCATACCTTCATGTACCAGCTCAGCCCACGTGCCTCACCTTTGGTTCTTATCCGGATCGTCGAAGTGGGTGGGAACGAGGGAAAAGAACTTGCCCATCTTCAGCCAGAGATCCGATTGTGGCACCCAGCCATTGTGTGCGTGGATGGCGTGGTACTTTGCTAGCTGCCGTGCAATAAGCCTTAATAAAAACAACAAAAAATAACAAGATAATCATCAACTTCAATGTTCTGCGGTTTGACATTCAAGCCAATAATAGTCAAGCTCTATTTTTTTCCAAAGGAAGGCTGTTAATAGACACAAGTTGGAAAGATGCCATATAAGCCCTTTGGCAGGGCATGCAGAGCGTCTCCGTGCCCGTGAGGCACAGAGTGAGGGCTGGAGCTGGAGCTGGGTCTTGGCAAGCTTGAGATCACGAGCAGCAGGATCAGGTTGCAAAGCAGCCTGTGGCTTCAGCTCGCAGAGGAAATGAGCACAGAGCTGGCTGGTGAGCCAGAAACTCAGGCAGCAGAGTACGAATCTAGGCTGAACGTGTGCACGAACACATGCTCCTCACCTGAAAATGGAGGGGCTGCGGATGTGCTCTGGCTCCAGGGCCATGCCCTCGAGGAACTCGTAGCACAGGCCGTTGTCGAAGGTGCAGTAGAGGCGCGGGGCGCAGCGGTGGGCCTGGAGCACCCGGAAGCTCTTCACCTCGTTCTCGCGGTCCACGAACAGCTCCGTCTTATTGCCGTAGATGCGCACCAGGACCACGTCCTGCAGGGCGTCGCCCACGTAGCAGCCAATCAGCTTGTTGGTGATGCCGTCTGTGAAAGACTGCAGACAGAGGAGGGAGCGAGAGAGGACAGTTCGTCATGTGACACTCAAATATGGAAGAGAAAAATAAGCATCCAATAAAAGGTGTCATGATACGCATGTTAATGTTTATTGTTTTCGATACGGGGGGTCGCGAGATGATACGCACTGTGAATCCAGTGCGCGTGACGCTGGGAATGATTTCCATAGTTCTATTTAACATTTATTCTTTTCAATAATAATAAAATGTATTTTAATATGTAATACTACTACTACACTCTTCAAAAAGAAGGTTCTTCAGGGGTTCTTCATTAAAGAAAATGGCTGTATATATAGAATCATGAACACTCGAAGAACCTACTGCATCATTAAAGGGTGCTTTGCATCACTAAATGGTTCTTCAGATTGATGAAGGCTGTGTTTTACATGGTTCTATATAGAACCTGTCTGAAAAGGAAGCACTAAAAAGGGTTCTTCTATTGTTACAGGCTTGACACTAACAGTAGAAGAACGCTTTTTGGTGTTATATAGAACCCTTTTCAAACAGGTTCTATATGGAACCATCTACAACACATTCTCCATCAATCTGAAAAAACATTTCCTCATGCAAAGGGTTCCTTGAGTGTTCCACCTTAAATGGAACTCGCCTTAACTGATGTACCTCACAAAATATCTGGAAGGGCCTGGCAAACAATTCCTAAGGTACAAGTTTGTAAGATAACTTTTCAGGAGAAGGAAAAAACATACTTTACTTTTAATGTGAATCAATGGAACCAGAATTTTTTCCAAGTCATTTTGGGTCGTTTCTTTTGGTCCATTCTTCATGAAATTTACACACAACGTAAAGGCCAACAGGTGTTTTCAGATTATGTCAATAACTGAAAAGTGCACGATATGTTTGTTTATCCTCGACAGCATTCTGGCTTGTGATTAGGCAAAGGTTTCAGGCCTGGTAGACCAACCAGGAAATATGTTTGGGGCAGAATGTTTGACTAGTATTTTGTCATGAATTAAATGAAATAAAAAATTGTTTAAAGTTTTTAATTTTCAGTGATTTTAATGGCTTATTTCAGTGTACTTTGCTGCATGATGTGTGCAGAAAAAAACAGCACCGGGTCTCTGGGACTCTTCCGCTTCGCACATACAGCCTGTATGAAAGTGCTGACCACTTAACATGGTCACCGAAATGAAAAGCAAGACTTTTCGCGTCGCTCATGCTACGCAGAGGCAGTATGTGTGAATCAGGCCTGAGGCTGATAATTTTTTATAAGCAAATATCTTCTGTTAACAATATGATTCTAATATAAGCAACATAATAAGCAACCTAACAGCAACATTACAGTCCTACTCTGCACTGAAGCTTAAAGTCACACAGCATAAACAACTTCTTTTGGCTCATAAAGCAGCAGATCAGATTATATTTTACTAATAGTCTATTAATCTGTAACCTATTGATGACTCAAGTGCAAGAAATGACTTTTCTAGGCTCCAGGAAGTAAAATGTGACCAAGTCACATGTTCCAGTTTCCTGGAACCCAGAAGAAGATCAACAACTTGGACTCTACTTTTTATGTACTTGTTTATTTTACCGTTTTGCCCCAGGATGCACTCACAACGTTTGTGTGTGTTTATGCGTTCATGTACCAACAACATTCATCACCATTTTCCAACCTCTTATCACCTCTTAGAATTAAACAGGCTGTTTTTGTGACTGTCCCTTTACGACTCATATATGTAAATGAACTTTGTTCTGATCGGCTGCCTCACTTAAAACTCAATCCAGGCTGAAACACTGCTTATAGCTTCAGTAATGTGAATGGGCGGGGCTAAACTGCTGCCGGCAGATACATGTGTATATGTTTTGGTTCATCACAAAAACACTGAATTCAAAACAGGCTGTTTTTACAGCTTGTTCTCCACACCTGGACTGTATGGACTGAGTGTGCAATGCTTTGAAGCTTTAGTAATGTTTACATGCTATATCAAACTCTTAATTAAAAAAAAAAGCAATAATTTATCTATTTATTTTGGATATGTGAACTCCTTGAGACCACCGGTGGTCCCAAAACGCACTTCGTCATATTCTTCATTACTTTCATATTTCATAAGCTACATTCAGAAGGTGGGGGGCGTATGAGAGCTGTAACTGTGTTCCTTCCAGTCAAATAGATGGGTGATGTCATTTAAACCCTTATAATAAAAGAAGCTGAACTCATAATTTTTTTTTCTACTGAAAGTCGACCCATTTTTCCACAAATCTGGGCTATAAACTATAAACAGATGGCGTCTCTTCAGTGATCTGCTCTGTAAACATTATTTTATAAAATAATACAAAGAGCGTCTAAGATTTTTGGCTTTCAGCAGTAAATTGTAAGCATATAGCAATATGTGTGATCATAAAACACGTTCTGTTCATTTGAGGCGAGCTTTTACCAAAAAACAAATAAATAAAATAAAAATTTACATTCATTTCATGCAGTTATTGAATAATTTGCCTTACGATTTGGTCATGTAAATTCAGATGGACAAACCAAAATATACCCTGGAGAACAAGAGGTTAACTAGAAAATAAAATCATGCATTAAACATATTAGTGATGTCACTACTTAATCAATAAAATATTAATATTATACTACATCATACATTCACACTACAGAAAGTAATGCTAATGATTCCAGAGGCAGGTTTATGAAATAAGAGACGTCTCCATTCACATTACAGTCGTGTGCAAATGTTTGTGCACACCTGGTCGAATTACTTGTGAACATAAGTGAACACATCCTCTACAGATGTTTCAGCACATTTTAATGCACAGTTACTGTTTATTCGCTTAATTTAACATATTGGGTAAAAATCAAACAAACCAATAAAATAAGGCCTGTGCAAAAGTTATGGCACCCTTCATATATTTTGTTTTTCTTCCCCAATATGTTAAAAAATAGCACATAAATAGAAATTGTGCATTAAAACGGCAGTAAAAAGCCATATTTAGGTGTGTTATCCATAGAGAACTCACTGTCCGTGCCTGAATGGCTGTTGGTTTTAAAACAAAAAGGCAGAAGTTTGTTCAGTGGCAACATGCGTGCAAGTTCTTCTTGCGTGTGGGCAGTGACAGACTGGCTGACTTGAGCTGAGCTGCGGTTGCTACCAGATTGTGCTGACTGACGCCTTTTTTGTGGCTAGCGCAGTTAAGAACACACTAGAAACGGTGTTCTAGCTAAGCGTTCTAGACAGGCTAGGCATAGGGTCTTGCAGCCAATTACTTTGAGGCAGATACTCCGAGCACCTGCATCTGAAACCTGTTTCTGTGGCCGCACCGTTACAGTAAGTAGGGCAAAGTGCGGCACAAACTAATACAGGGCAAAACGCAACACGGATGTTTAATGTAGTTAAACAGGTTCCAATGGAACATGCTTTCGGTCATGTGCTCATACCCCTATAGCAACGTCATCCATGAATCAGCAATCGGGTGTTCCTTCAGGTCCCCCTGCAGACTGTTTATGTAACACCAAAGCAACGATTCTCATTATTAGTAGATTTTGATTACTGTGCAAGTTAAGTGTACAAGCCTGAGTAGACTGATAAATCAATGTGATCAGTTATTAATCTCAGCGGTTCTACGCTCATTGTCCATTTTATCAGCTCCACTTACTATATAGGTGCACTTTGTAGTTCTACAGTTACAGACTGTAGTCCATCTGTTTCTCTGATACTTTGTTACCCTGTTCTTCAGTGGTCAGGACCTCCATGGACCCTCACAGAGCAGGTACTATTTGGGTGGTGGGTCATTCTCAGCACTGCAGTAACACTGACATGGTGGTGGTGTGTTAGTGTGTGTTGTGCTGGTCTGAGTGGATCAGACACAGCAGTGCTGCTGGAGTTTTTAAACACTGTGTCCACTCACTGTCCACTCTATTAGACACTCCTACCTTGTCAGTCCACCTTGTAGATGTAAAGTCAGAGACGATAGCTCATCTGCTGCTGCACAGTTTGTGTTGGTCATCCTCTAGTCCTTCATCAGTGGTCACAGGACGCTGCCCACAGGACGCTGTTGGCTGGATATTTTTGGTTGGTGGACTATTCTCAGTCCAGCAGTGACACTGAGGTGTTTAAAAACTCCAGCAGCACTGCTGTGTCTGATCCACTCAGACCAGCACAACACACACTAACACACCACCACCACGTCAGTGTTACTGCAGTGCTGAGAATGATCCATCACCCAAATAGTACCTGCTCTGTGAGGGTCCATGGGGGTCCTGACCACTGAAGAACAGGGTAAAAGGGGGCTAACAAAGTATCAGAGAAGCAGATGGACTACAGTCTGTAACTGTAGAACTACAAAGTGCACTTATATAGTAAGCGGAGCTGATAAAATGGACAATGAGCGTAGAAACAAGGAGGTGGTCATAACGTTATGCCTGATCAGTGTATATCCTTGATCTGTATGACTGAGCTGATAAAAACCCGTTTTCTACATTCGAGAATGAATCTTTTCATTGAATTGGACAAATATTTCAATGTTGAACGCCATACTTCACACCTGCCTTGTTCGGTGCCAACCAATCAATATTTCTCTTTAATTCGGTTCATTTTGACAGGTGTGAACACTCCAGGTGTTCACTTTGGAATTCCAAAAGCTGGGTTTAGTTTGCTGCTAGTGGGAACACGGTTTTATGACGGTCCACACCAAACAAACACCACAGCGTGCTTTTCAGCGAACATCAGCGCTGCAGTGTCCACTGAATCTGCCTGTTTAACATTTGACTCTGAAGACAAGCTCGTATTGTTCTCGCAGCACGAGATTCTGCTCAGAACTGCAGACGAGCAATAAAGAAGCATTTGATTTTGTAACATGGACTGTGAGGAGGCTGGGCCAGACATCAACAACCTGATAGAATTTAAACTGACGCGTAATTTAACCAATATATCGCTGTAGAAAACCTCATATCTCCATTTTTGTCGTTTTCCAGTTTTTGACATAATTTGAAAATACCTGTCGCCCTCTACATTGTGTGTAAATT